AGGATCAATTTCATGTAATAGTGTGTGCTCTCAAGTATATAAAAATATACAAAACATTCAAGGTTATTTTCTGTAGAAAAATATTCTCAAAAAGCTCTCAATAGTCAAAATATTTTTCTCTTTTAAACCCTAATTAATAATTAGAGAAAGAGAGTTTATATAGACTTAAAGAATCCTTACAATAGGTAAAAAGAGATTTCAAAATCGTCCAAGGATTACCCTACAAGTTTGGGTAAAAAAAATGAAACTGAAAAGTTACCAAAATTTGAATTTTTGCTCATTCAGGCAAATGCAACGGGTTACTTGAAGTGCAACCGGTTGGAAAAGCAACGAGTTAAACCTCAAATGCAACCGGTTCCAAAACTCTAGAAGGTTGTTTTTGCTCAGAAAATATAACCGGTTCTAAAGTGAATTGTAACCGGCTAAACTTTGCTAAATGTTATTTCCAACCTAAGCTCTCACACCCAACTTTAAAAATACTCATAAGTGTTCCTTACTTACTTCTTTTAAATTATGTTCTTATTGGATCGAAGTATGTTTACATGTTGCAACACTTGTAGTTCCGCTTCCAACATCGAGACTCAAAGTAAAATAAAAAATTACAATTCGATCGGACATGTTTTGACATTAAAATTTGTCAATTACAAAATTTATATATGACAGAGACTCATTTTCAATATCTACTCGGTGCTGGAAGGACAATATATCCTGGCTTGTCGAGATCGGTTTAGCTAATTTTGAGCTTGCACTTGCAAATTTATTGTATCACTTTTTACTGGAAACTTCCTGAGTGAGAAAAGCAAGAAAATCTTGACATGACTAAGGCCGCAATTAACTGAAAAAGTATACTTCAGTTATTTGTGTTTCTAGTGCAAAGTTTGTTTTGTATCTTGATCTCAAAAGCTTAGCTCTTTGATAAGTCCAATAAACCTCTAAAATAGTTGAACAACTTTACAAGAATCTTATCAATGCTTAATAAAGAGAGCTCGTACAACCCTTACAATCCATTTTACTAACCGGGAGATTTGCCAAACCTGTTGGATAAAAGAATATATATTATGTAATTTATGTTCTATATAAATATTAAATACAGAAATGATCAATGTCCTATTTCAATTGCATTTTAAAATATACTAAATTAACTAAATGTCCTATCCTACAAAATATTCTATCAAATATCTGTTGAAGGAATTAAATATAAAAATTACATTTTCTTTAAATTTTTAGAATAAATGATTATTAACAGGTATACCGAATCATATAGAGCGAGAGCGAGAGCAAGAGCGGGAGCGGGAGCGTAAGAGCGGCATATCCCGAAAAAATCTTAGAGCGGGAGCGCCGCTAGAGCGCCGCATTATAAATATATAAAATATTAATTTATAATAATAAATATATGTTTTAAATAAATTTCTTGCAAATAAAAAGACAGAATAGTGAATCAAATATGTACAACCAATATAACCTACTTTATAAAAATGCATAAATTAACAAACATGACAATCAAACAAGCTGCTTTATAAAAATAAAAACATAACAGTGAATAGGGCATAACAGAAAAAGAAATGTTCAAAAATATTGTCTTTTATACATTTAACATGCTTTAAGCTTTCAAGATGACAATCATTGTCTTTGAAATAACAATATTCAAAAGCAAAAGAATCTACTGCTAAACTTTAAAATAGAATATCCAAACTTCCAAACCCAAAAGTTAATAAAAGTAAGTTACGTAAATATTATCTAATGAAGGTAAGTTACGTAAATATTATCTAATGAAGGTAAGTTACGTAAGTATTATTAAATATTAAGTATATTGTTATATAACTTATATTATTTGATTTTTATCTATAAAAGATAGAGTTTACTTAATTAAATTAAATTGATTATTTTTTGACATAATTAACCTTATTTGGTCTATTTAAGTTGGGAGTAAAATCGAAATTTCTCAAGATTCACACTAAGTTCGTAAATTTATTGTCAAAAGTAGTCAAATTCTTGAACAAAATACGCGATTTTACCTTACACAATTGATCGAATTGAATTTTAAAAATTGGCGAATTTAAAAACATGAGAGCATGAATTTTTGACGAATTAACTCTCAAAACACTAATTCGCGCACGGAGCGATGGAACTCAAGTGATTGGAGCGAATTATGTGACTTAGTTATACGACTTTATCTTCACTTCTAATAATTAAGTCAAATTGTGAAAAAAAATAATAATAATAAATAAAGTCAAATTTAACTTTTGTGATAAATAAGAGTTGAATGGTGAGCCAAAAACGCAGCAGATTTATTGAAAAGTAATAGTAACGTTGAAGAGGGAAAGCGCGTGGGTCCCCCATATTCTTCAGTGTCCGGCGCCGCAAATTAAACGGCAGGTCTCACGCGGACTCCACTCCACTTCAGTCCCATGTGAATATCTCTCTCTCACACACACACAGACGCACACCACCAAATCCTTTCCACTCTTCGGAATCTTATTAACTAACCTAACCTATCCTATATTATTCTACACTACTCTTCTGCGTTATTTAAATCAATAATACAACAGTTAATAATTTAATAATTTTAAATCAAAAAATGCGTGAATATGTTACTAGTAAGTCTAGTAATATGTTGTTTTTGTAATCTGTTGTGTTGTTTAAAAAGTAAAGAAAATATTGAAGAATGGATATGGAAGAAAGGGAATGCCATCTCAATTTAATAAATATTTTATTTTCAATTTTATGGGGTTGTGTAATATTACATTTATCAATTTAATTGCACACCAAAGTAAATTATACAAATAAAGCGAATCAAGTTTACTTACCCATATATCTCACAATTATTACTACTACTTTGTATTCAATATTATGCCAAAAACTTTATCATGGTTTATTATTATAACTATTTTATTTTTAATAAATTTAAAACGTAATCGTGAAATTTTTTTTTTTTATAATTTGAGAGAACCAGCAACTCATTTTCGATCCGAAAACATTATATCTATATCTGTTTGGTCCAGAGACCATTTTCAACCCAAACACTACTTTGTTATTCAATCTAAACTAGGGTTACAAAGATTTAGATGAAGCACCCAACAATAAAAATCATATATATGCATGTGTACATAGAGAGAAATAGATTGGGTGAGATAGGAGAAAAACAAGTTAACAAATTACTATAACGACTGCATTTGCAGTTTCGTGATACATGCCACGAAAAACTTTTGTGACAAATAACACTGCTCTTAAATGAGTAGTTTTGTAATTTTAATGGGAAAGATGTATTAAATGTTTGTCCCTCCAAAATTTGGATTCATGAAGAAGCTCAAGAATTTGGGAGTAGTTGTTTTTGTAACGACCATCACCCTATCTAGATATAAGAAATAATTGACTGATTAAAAAGTGAAGGTCAAAATTAAGCCAGAAAAAAAGATGCAACTCATTATAATACTATTCCAAGTTAAGCACGCTAGACTTCGGAGTTCTAACGAGTTCACGGCCATCATTGCTTTTCACAAGTTGTGTGAAAGAGTGGTGTTAAACCTTACGTATAACACTGTCTCTTTCCCAATCAATGTGAGATCGTGGCATCCTATATAACCTGCAAGTGTGATAATTTGTCCAATGTCTTGCAACTGTCCACATCACACTTCCCCACAAAAGTCCATTGTCACAATTTTATTATCATACTAGGTGGGACCCATAAACTGACATTTTTACTTTTTAAAATTGTGCAGTTGAAATATTGCCAACATTTTCTTTGTAATATTTGCCCGATCCACATCACACCTGCCTACAAAATTTGGTGCATGGATCAAACGACTATACCTGGCCATCTTTCTAAAAGTCATACATTGGACTCGACTATGCGAGGTATAAGAGGAATTGATTAATACTAAATTTTGTTTTAATTTCTCTTAGAGATTTTGTATGTATCGTCATCCAAAAAAAGTCATAAAAAATTTATTGTATCACTGAAAATTTCTTGAGGGAGTGAAGTAAGAACATCTAAACGCAAAAAGTAAGAACAAAATGTTACATTGTTTGAAGATTTTAAAAATAAATCGAAGGTTTAAGCCTATGCATTTATGACACATGGAACAAACTGAGAGCATAAATGAGGTTCCACTTTCTTATTCTTATGCAAGTCAAATATATAAATCATATTAAATTATGCTCGAAAAGTCAGTGCTCGTGCCCAAAAAAAAAATTACTTTTAGAAGTATTGGGTCAAAATTCAATATATATATATATATATATATTATTTTTTCTCTGAAAGAGCCACATTCAATCATGTGAAACAATGGTCATATCTATTTTCTGCAATCCACAATGCATGAAAATTGGCAAACAATACACGAAAATTGGCAAAATTTTCATGATGAAATAGCTATTCTCCACTCTCTAGACTAACAAACTTCTACTCAAATTCATTATTTGAAGATAATTATCACAATTCTTCAGTAAAAACAATCAAAATAAATGTCTTTACCGTTATCTAGAAGAAAAAAAAAAAAAAAAAAACCTAAATTAAATCGTATTAGAATTTTTTATTTTATTTTATTATTTTTTTTTTTTTTGAAAGGTTAAAGCAACTGACATATAGAAGATAGGGAATCGAACCTGGGCCATTTGGCCACAAGCACAGCGCCCTTACCAACTAGGCTATCACACCACACCTAATAGTATTAAAATTTCGTTTCTGTGCAATTCTTTACTTGAATAGATGAAAAAAAAAAAAAAAAAAACCCTTAAATTAAATTGTATTAGATTTTTGTATCTATAAAATTGTTTGATTTGTTATAATATACCATTCCTTTGCATTTTTTTATTGAAAAAGACAAGCCCTCATGGCTGTTAATCATCTAAGGTAAATTTAACTATTTCATATATATACAGGAAACTTTGTTATAAATGTTCATATTACTATTCTCAAAGATAGGAGCCACACATCATTCATGATACAAATCCTTAATTTCTTTCGAGATGCGTATCACTGCTAGTCTTATTAACCTTGTATATATTGTCATCCAAAAACAATAAAATAAATAAATTTGTATACTCTGTCTATTTCTCTATAAATACAGGGCAAAGTTCTCATTCACAATCACCAGAGTCTTTGTTCTCTGTTTCTCCACTCTGCACCGAAGAGGCGTGGTAACTAGAGCTCCAACTCATTAGAAGTATATCCCCAACCGTGTGAGTCCTCCTCTCCTCTTGCTTTCCCCATGCATTCATGCGTTTTTTTGTATGTGTGTGTGTATATATATATATATATATATATATATATATATATAGTATATATTTCATTTATTAGAAACAGAGAAAGAAAGTAATATACAATAATATTCCGAGTGAGCTAAACTAATTTTTGATCTGGCCACTAGTGTGGTTGGTATAATTTTTCTTCTTCAAAAGGGGAGACTGAAAGTTCAAGTCCGATTAGGGACATGTTGTGGGTGTATACATTTTCTTTTAAAAAATTGAAAGTTGGAGATCAAAGCACTCATAAAGGTTACAAAAACAAATGATACAACTCTTTGTGTTTTAGGGAGGACAAAAAAATAAATCCAATTTAATAACTCCGTAATTATTAATTCGAACCAATCCGAACTAAGTAGGAGTGGTTTTTGACTTATATTGATGTTGCAGTTTGATAATTAAATTACTTACGCCTTCTCAAACCAGCTACTTTGATACAATACTACTAAGCTGCCCTTTTGATCTCCCCATAATGTCCTTACACCATTTTATATATAAACACCAACACCGTTTTTTTCTCTTTTGGTTAGAATACTTTAATCTTTTTTATTTTATGTTATCCAAACTGTATGATGATTATTTGTGAAACTACTAAATTAATCACCTTATGCCACAGCAAGCAAGCATAAATCTGGACAAGTGATAGATGATGGAGTTCCCAATCATCTCCTTCCCAATTCTATTCACATTCCTTATGTTTGTGTTGATGGTATTCAAAACCAAGATGATGAGTTCATCTCCAAAACTGCCTCCTGGGCCTTGGAAGCTACCTGTAATTGGTAACATTCACCAATTTGTTGGATCTCTACCCCATCACCGCCTACGAGATCTGGCAATGAATTATGGACCTCTGATGCAGCTTCGACTCGGTGAACTTCCTATTGTTGTCATTTCTTCAGCAGAATTTGCCAAAGAGGTGATGAAAACACATGACATCGTCTTTGCTACTAGACCTTTTATTTTTGCTATGAATATCATATCTGGGGATGACGTTGCCTTCGCGCCTTATGGGGATCAATGGAGACAACTTCGAAAAGTTTTCATACTGGAGCTTTTAAGTGCCAAGCGTGTCCAATCATTCCGACCCATCAGGGAAGAAGAGGCCGCGAATCTGATCAAATCTATTTCGTCGACAGCTGGATCTCTCATCAATCTCACTGAAAAGGTTTTCTCCATGACATACAGCGTTGTTGCTAAGGTGGCCGTTGGTAAGAAATTCCATGGGCAACAAGAATTCTTATCACTTCTTAGGGAGACTATGGTGGTAGCAGGAGGTTTTGATGTTGCTGATCTATTTCCTTCACTTAAAATACTTCCTTCGATAAGTGGGTTGAGGCCTAGAGTTGAGAAGATTCATCGAAAAATTGATGAGATATTTACTAACATTATTGATGAACATAAAGCTAGAGATGGTGAAGTTGATCACGAACAAGACTTGATAGATGTACTTTTAAAAGTTCAGGAGAAGGGTAACCTTGAGATCCCCTTAACTATAACAATGCTCAAGTCAGTTATCATGGTTAGTACAATATTTACTTTCTACTTCTTCTATCAATGAATTAACTTCCACAAATTACCTACTTTTACAATATTCTCTACTCTTCTAACTCAATTTCAATGCTCTTTCAGGACGTATTCACTGGAGGGATTGATTCATCATCCTCAACTGTAATCTGGGCAATGTCAGAATTGCTGAAAAATCCAAAAGTTATGGGAAAGGCACAAGCTGAGGTGAGACAGGTTTTAAGTAAAAAAGGAGGAGATATCATAAATGAAGATGACATCCATGAATTGAGTTACTTAAAGTTAGTTATCAAAGAAACTCTTAGGTTACATACTCCTGGCCCTCTATTAATTCCGAGAGAGAGCAGAGAGAGATGTGAAATCAATGGATATGAGATACCTGCGAAAACCAAAGTCATTGTCAATGTATGGGCAATTTGTAGAGATCCTGAAAGTTGGAGTGATCCAGAGAGTTTTCATCCAGAGAGATTCCTTGACACTTCAGTTGATTACAAGGGGACTCATTTCCAATTTACACCATTTGGTGCTGGCAGGAGAATATGTCCTGGCATTTCGTTCGGGATAGCTAATGTTGAGCTTCCACTTGCTAATTTATTGTATCACTTTGACTGGAAACTTCCTGAGGGAGAAAAGCCAGAAGATCTGGACATGACTGAGATCTTTGGTGCAATAGTTGGTAAGAAAAGGGATTTGTGTGTGATTCCTATTGCTTATCATCCTTCAACTCGTAAGTAAGATATTAAGACAAGAATGTAGAAAGCTAACATTGGATGGTCACTATTGAATGTCCAGTTTCAGTGTGACCCTCTCTAATGTTAATTAAGTTATACTACTATATAATAAATAATGTAATCTTATGTTAGAATATATATATATATATATATATATATATATATATATATATATATATATATATAACAATATAGATGAAAGGTAAAATAAGAATTGGTGTTATGTGGACTTCCATAATAATTGAATAAAGAGTATTCTTCCTCTTTGTTGTTTTTATTGCAAAGTTTTATGTGTTCAGATTTCAAAATTAAACTTAACTCTTTGATACATTCAATTAACCTCTAAAACAAGGGCTTTTTTTTCACAGGCCATGGTTCAAAAGCCATAAGCTTTCCTTATTAATTTTTGGATTGAAAAAGATTTAGACTATTATAAACGTAAATAAATTTTAAAAAATCTTATTGTAATGGGTAGGGTATTTCGCAATCTGACCTAAAAGATTAAACTATTAGGTGGAGTTAATACTCAACCCATTTCTCATCCGAATCCGGTGTGGGACAAGTCCCACTTATAACATTCTCCTGTGAGTTTTATGTAGCAGAATATTTAGCAAGTTTTGTATTAGTAGAAACAGACGTGTGTCTTTCTAACTTTACTTATTTTAGTAATTAAATAATTAATCTCATGTAAGATAAAATTAAGCAAAGTAAAGAGTTAGAGATGACACCAGGATTTTTAGGGAAGAAACCCCAATTGATAAAATAGATCAATTGTTGCGTGGGAAAACCTCGTGAACTGTGCAGTTCAAAGTAAACCGATCCACTATGTATGAAACAAAGTACACTGAACTTTGATTCAGGCTCACACCCTATTGTTCTACCAAACACCAATGGCTGACAATCTTCTGGTTTTGCGACATCCCGTCCAACAGCACTTGACCTTAGGCTTATGCTTGATCTCTGTAGAAGGGTAGCAGGTAGATTAAACAACATTCCTTGAATGCTTTGACCCTTTCAAAGTGTGATCACCTTTACTTCTGTTCTTCAATATCTGAAAACATGTAAAACAATTTACCCAATTCATATATATATAAAAACATATAAAACAGTTTACCCAATTCATATAACATCAAATTAATATGTTTAATTCTCTGTTTTAGTCCCTTAAGTTTAGCGTAAGATGTAAAAATTACAGATCCCAAGGGGAAGAGATAGAAAAGAGACTTGCCTTAAGGTTTCGGACAAAAAACATTCTCTCTTTCTTCTCCAATCTACACTCTATTTTTCGGCAACCTTTGGTTGCCTTCACAGTCTTCTGCTACTCGAGTCTTAGCCTACAAGACAGCCTTCTCCTTCCTCCTTCTGATTCAACCTTCACCCTTGGCCAAAATCTCTCTCATTCTCTCTGTAACTCTCTCTCTCTCTCTATTGTCTGCGTATAACGATTTTGTAACCCTTATGCAGACTAGATACATACATACATATATATATATCCTAATATAACTAACCCTAATCATATTCCTTCCCCAAATCTAATTCTGACTTAAAGAAAAGAAAAGAAAAAGATATAATAATTAAAGTAATTAAATTACTAAACTATACGCGTATATATATAAATATATATAAACATTTAATATATACGTATAGGGGTGGCAAAAGTTGACACAACCCACCAACACGACTCGAACACGACACGAGTTAAATGGGTTTGGGTTGACCTTAAACGGGTTCGGGTCATAAACGGGTTGACACGATTAACCCGTTTAGTTAATCGTGTCGTGTTTGGGTTGAGAGGTTTAACCCGTGTAACCCGTTTATGCACGTTTAACTATATATGTCATAAATAAATTTCTGTTTAAGTTCTAAAATTACTATATAAACTTATGTCCTATAATTTAATCTTCTGTAAACTATAAACTATTTAGTAATTTGGTTGATTAAAACTTATATATTTTTTTTAATATTTATTATTTTATTGAGTATTATTAATAATTTAAATAATAGAAATTTTTTTGTAAATAGTTCATTAAACGTGTTACACGTGTAACCCGTTTAATAAATAGGTCGTGTTAGTGTTAAGAGTTCGTGACACGATTATTAAATGGGTCGTGTTCGAGTTGAGTTATTTAGTATAATACTCTTAAATTGACACGACACAATTATGACCCGCGAACACGATTTGCCACTCCTAATACGTACGATGCACGTGATGAATGTTTTGTAACTAAAAAAAAAATTTTTTATTATTTGTTGATTTGAAAATTGTAACAATAAACCTTACAAAAAAATGGCAATTTTCTGTAACTTTTTTTATATTAATAAATAAATACTGAAATATTTTGAAATTGATAAAATAGATAATTTGTGGTAGAGTTTTATAAAAATTATTTTATTTTCTGTAAAATATTCATAATAAATAAATAAATACAGGTTATATGTGATAGAGTTTTATAGAAATTATTTTATTTTGTTTAAATATATTCTTATTTAATTAGGTTTTATTTTATTAAAAAATTCATAATAAATAGATAAAGTGATAGAGTTTTATAGAAAATAAAACAGCTAATTTCTATTAAATTTTATAGCAATTTTTTATTTTCTTTAAATATATTCTTGTTTAATTATATTTTCATTATTAAAAAAACTCATAATAAATAGATAAATAGGTAATATGTGTTAGAGTTTTATAGAAAATCTTTTAAAAACTCTTTTTATATAAATTAATAAATATTTTTATATATTAATAATTCTTGTCTAATTATATTAACTTTTATTATTAAAAAAAAAAACTCATAATAAAAGGTAATTTGTGGTAGAGTTTAGAAAATTATTTTATTTTTTATATCAATAAAAAATATTTTTTATATTAATAATTCTTGTCTAATTAGATTTTCTTTTATTAAAAAACTCATAATAAATAAATAAATAGGTAATTTGTGTTATAGTTTAATAAAAACCCTTTTAAAAACTCTTTTTATATCAATTAATAAATATTTTTATATTATTAATTCCTGTCTAATTAGATTTTCTTTTATTAAAAAAACTTATAATAAATTGATAAATAGGTAATTTGTGTTAGAGTTTTATAGAAACTCTTTTAAAACCTCTTTCTATATCAATTAATAAATATTTTTTTTACTAATAATACTTGTCTAATTATATTTCCTTTTATTAAAAAAAATCATAATAAATAGACAAAGAGGTAATTTGTGTTAGAGTTTTATAGAAACTCTTTAAATATATGTGATAGAGTTTTATTGAAAATAAAATAGGTAATTTGTGATAGAGTTTTATATAAATTATTTTATTTTCTTTACATAAATCCTTTTCTATTTAGATTTCATTTTATTAAGAAACTCATAATAAAAACTAATTTGTGGTAGAGTTTTAGAAATTTTATTTTATTTTACATATCAATTAATAAATATTTTTTATATTAATAATTCTGTTCTAATTAGATTTTATTTTATTAAAAAATTCTTAATAATAAATAGATAAATAGGTTAATTGGAATTTTATTAAGTAGATTTTAGAGTGTTATAGAGTTTTTTTTTTTTTTTTATAAAAACTCTTTTCAAATCAATTAATAAATATTTTTTTACATAAATAAATAAATACTGAAATATTGAAACTCTTACATTTAATAATAATATAGATAAAAACTATTTTTATATCAATTAATAAATATATTTTTATATAAATAAATAAATACTGAAACTCTCTGAGTTTATCTAGAATTCTGAATTTCTATAATTCTTAATTTTTATAAAACTCTAACATAAATTATTAGGTAGATTTTAGAGTTTTATATATATTGATGAGCACTGAAAAGTGCGCATTTAAACCCGTTAAGCTTAAGCCTTCTAGTACCTTTATCTATCTTACTTTGCCGTTTTAGACTTATTACGTGTTATTTATATTTTCAGGCACTAATCCCAAAATTGAGCTAACTCAGCCAAATAAGAGCTTAATTGAAGCAATCCTGAGATAAACCAAATGAGGGAGCAAAGTGGAGAAAGAAAGGAGTAAAAAGGAATCAAGTTGTGCAGCTGAAAAGTTCGATCGATCCAACTTAGAGTTCGATCGATCGAACATCTATGATCGATCACAGTACTTCTCGATAGATCCAACCTTGGCCTTTGCTGAAATTCCAAGTTCGATCGATCGAACATCACCTTTGATCGATCGAACCCTATTTTGTCCTATTCAAATGATTGATCTTATCCACAGCTGTACGCCTACCAACCACTTTTGTCTTTTTCCCCATAAATATCTTGAAAATATCCCAGCCTTGTCATTATCCGGAGGAGTCAGACTACTTTGATCGATCCAAGATGCAGTTCGATCGATCGAACCCATTTTCGATCGATCCAAGTTAAGGTTCGATCGATCGAACTTCCTCCAGCGAGAAAAAGTTAAAGTCCAGCTCATTTATTCCGTCCTTCATCCAATGAATGGAGAATATGCCTTGCACGACCACAGCTTATCATAGGGTGTATTTAACTTACCTATATAAGGAATATGATACACTTTTTGAGGGAGTCTCTTGTCACACATTGAAAATTGATCTTAGAGGCTATTCTTGGAGAGGAGGAAGGAGGGAAGCTAGAGCACCATTGGAGGAGATCTTCACCAACAAGGAGCAGCCATGGAGTTAGCCCTTGAGGGTTGGATCATCACTACCATGAATGGCTAGACATCCTCTTGGGGCTAGAGTTAGCCCCAAGCATGCTTTCTATACTCTAATCTTGTGTATTATTGAAGGATTAGTGTTGTATGATACATCTTGATATTCATGTATATATAAATCTTGATTATTTCATGGTTTGTATGGTTTAATGCTTCCAATTGACTATTCTATTCTATCCATATGTCTATGTATGCTAGAGTAGGATATTCATGTGCTTATCCCTAGATTTAGTGTTTTTGATGCATGTCTATGTGTATTGATGCTATAGATCTAGAGATTATCAAGATGATATGCTTAATGAATGTTATTTTGGTTCATTTGATGGTTTATGCCTATTCTTGATGGTTTGTGCCTCTCCCCTAGTCTAGATAGCTTTATTTTCATGCTAGTAGTGTAGATTTAGTGTAGTGGTAGTGTAATGTTAGATGGGAGGACAATCTACTCTTGATGTTTGATGTTCCATGCTTGTGAGTCCAAATGGCATATTCCTCTAATATTGTATTGTATGTGGATTGTGAGCTTAATGAAGGATTA